GAGTGGGACATGTATTCGTTAGAATTCGTAACCGGAGGTGAAAATGAAGCTGGTAGTTAGAATCGTCAACGTTGAAGGTAATCACCAGTGGTCTTCAACAACTAGCATGAGGATCGAGAGAGAGGAAGAAGATTTGTCGGGAGTGGGAGGTGAGGAAGTCGCCAAGGGAGAATTGTCGATCAATCGATCGAGAGAGAGTGAGACTGATGATTGAGCGTGCGTGAATTAAACGAAGGGACCTGCTCTCGTAATTTCGGGCATAGAAAGCTATGGGGACGACAAGTCGTCCCCATAGTTGGATGTCCCAGTTTTATTTCGGTGAAATTATTAAAAAAATATGTTATTTTTAATTTTTGTTATTTGTTGGAGCGATAAGTCGTCGCCACAGGTTTTTCAAGAATGCGCCAAACCCACTTCATTTCCCGCTTAACATGTTGAGACGACAAGTCGCCGCTGTAGCTTCAAAAGTAAAAAAAAAAAATCGTTAACTCTATAGCGACGGCATGTCGTCCCTATAGATAGCCTATAGCGACGACAAATGTCGTCCCTATAGATAGCTTATAGCGACGACAAATGTCGTCCCTATAGATCTCGTCCCTATAGATGTTTATTCTTGTAGTGCATTTACAAAAAAACCAACTACTTTTTTTCGTTTAAAATTTTTTTTAGGTCATGTTTTTTATCAAAAAAAAAAAAAAAAAAAAACCGAATATACCGTTGTTCACGATTTTTCGTCCTCTTTCCATAGAGATCCATGATGATATATAAAAAACGAACTTTTTTTTTTTCGAAAAAAACCCACTTCATTTTCTTTGATGAAAAAAGTTAAGGTCTATTTTTTATAGAAAAAAAATTAATAAATATATCAAAATTCATATTTTTTGTACTTTTTAAACATAGATTCATATTCATGTTAAAAAAAAACCGATATTCACATTGTGAACCTGTTCAGATTCACATTGGGAACCTCCTCAGATTCACAGTGTGCATAATAATAAGTCAGATTCACAGTGTGAATGTGAACTGATCGGAGCTTTTTCACATTGTGAATGTTAAAATTTGAAATATTTACAGTTTAGATTCACAGTGTGAATTTACACTGATCGAGGTTTTTTTTTTGTGAACCTTCTCAGATTCACAGTGTGCATAATAGTAATTCAGATTCACAATGTGAACCTGAACTGTTCGAGATTGTTCATATTGTGAATGTTAAAAATTGACATATTTACAGTTTAGATTCACAGTGTGAATCTACACTGTTCGAGATTTTTTTTTTTAATTGGTGTTGATGTTTATTAATAGAGTATGAAAAATTAATATTTTTGGTATAATTAGTTTTTTTTATAAAAATAAACTTAAATATTGAAAAAACTAAGAAAATTAAGTGGGTTTTTTTCGAAAAAAAAAATTCGTTTTTTATATATCATCATGGATCTCTATGGAAAGAGGACGAAAAATCGTGAACAACGGTATATTCGGTTTTTTTTTCGATAAAAAACTTGGCTTAAAAAAAATTTAAAATGAAAAAAAAGAAGTGGGTTTTGTTATAATCCGGTAAATGTGCGTCCATTATAAAAGTTTACAACCATTCCTTTTGCCGTTGATCGCTTTGGATTGGTTCATTGATTAATAATGGTTGTCTATTGAACTTTTCCATATATATATATATATATATATATATATATATATATATATATATATATATATATATATATATTTGTCAACTTGGAGAAATAAAAGCGAAGTGGGAATTATTTTTTCCTTATTGGGAAATAAAATGAATAATAGAAAAACTAGAGATCCGGGTCATGTCCACAACAGATCTTTCTAAAAATAGTAAGCAAACTCCAACGGATTTCCAAACAAATAAAATTATCAATTATGACAATGCCAACTGCCGAGCCAAATGTCAAATTTCATAATGTGAATTGGATATCAATAATGGTTATTGTTTATGCTTACTAACTTTATATATGATATATTGTATGAAAGCAATCATTAGCTAAAAACATTGTATTATTAAAGCATGTATATATATATATATATGTAGTCATTAGTTATACTTAGAGCATCGACCTTTTAGAGGTCTATATCAACACCAACTAATAAATATCACTGACCAAAGGGCTTGTAGCCCAGCGGTATCCGGTGTTGCCCTCCCTCCTTAAAGTCGAGGGTTCAAGTCCCCTAATGGACATAGATGGAATAATTTAGGAATAATTTAATATATTTGTCGTTTAAAAAAAAATTAATCTCACTAAACTAATTAAAGATCTTATAAATTCTTTTCACTATTCATTTTTTAAGGGAACTTTGCTAACGATATTACTTATTTTATATTCTATTAATTTGTACTTTTAATAAATAGTATTAATATATAAAAACGATTATTTTGTAAAATAAAATTTAAATTTAAAAAAGAAAGGGAGTATTATATAAATATATATATATATATATATATATATATATATATATATATATATATATATTGGTGAGCAGTGTGGAACTGGAAGGAGAGGGACTAAAATAATCTATTATAATAAATAAAGATAATTTTGTACATGTCAATCTCTAATAAGTTTTGATATTTGTCATTTTATGATAATAATTTTTAAATAAATAATATACACATTTCAATTTATGGTTTTTTCTAATTTTTAGGGTTAAAAAATCACATAATACTTATTGTTATATATGTAAAGTATCAAATATAATAAATAATATATACTAAATTGCAATTAATATGTTTCTTCATTTCTTATTTTAAAATTTTGTTTTAAAAAATACTTATTATTTACATTTTAATATTTTATTTTTTGAATCAATCCGTGTAATACACGGATTTTAGACCGAGTTAGCTATACATGAACCTTAATTTTGCACTGCCCCGTTAAACAATAAAGTGGTAAAGCATGTAAGCTGATATATCGTTTAACTTAATTAAAATGAGTAAGGACAGGTTGAATTGATTTCACTTTTGTTATTAATTATTATTACTCTCTCCGTCCCAAAATAATAGTCTACAGACAAAAAACACACAGTTTAAGAAAACATTAATTACCATTAACTTTATTAAATAAAATGACAGTCTTACCCTTCTGTTGCATTTAATTCTATGGTAGTTGCATTTAATTTTATGGTAATTTAACTAACAATGAGGGATATTATGGTAAAATACATATTTATTTTTAGAAGTAGACAATTATTTTGAAACAAACCAAAAAGGAAACATGAACTATTAATATCGGACGGAGAGAGTATTATTTTAAATAATTGACATTTTAATTTATTGAATTAATAATTTATTTGGCAGGTTGTAAAAAGTTGATTACACAGGTGTGTGTTTTCGGACCTTGAAGTTTAGAATAAAAACTTATTTTATGATGAACCGATTGGATTATTTTTCTAGTTATCAATTTAATTATCATATACTTAGCCATTTCATTACAGAAAATATATACTTGTTAAAATGCTCAAAGAAAATATGTAAAATTCAATGCTTTTAAGAAAATACGATGTTTTCTTATCTTTCTAAAATAAGTCTGGGCTTTTTTTTTATTTATTTATTTATTTATTTATTTATTTATTTTTTTGCAAATTGTATTCCAACTCTACTCTAATAAATGAATGTTTTTTGTCACTTGTCACACTCATTTAATTTGTCAAATGTCATTTTGTGATTATTTTGAATTAATTTTTTTCCACATGTCATTTTTATGAATTTTCTATTTTATTAAATTTCACATAATATTTTAATGTAATAAATGTAATAATAAATAGATATCAATTTTATTAATAAACTTACCTTTTAATTCTCAAAATTAAAACTCATTAGTTTCTTTTGTTTATTTTATTTAAATTATTTGCTTAAATTTAAAAGATAAAAACATTTTCATTATAATAATTCATTATTTTCTTATTTTTCTTAAATTTTCAAAGCTAGTTTTCAAATATTTAGACATTTATATAATTTATTTTTTAAATTAACCCATGTATCACAAGGGTTTCACAACTAGTTTACTTATAATTACTTTTGGCAGTGTGATCATCTATTCATCTATATATATAGATATATATATATATATATATATATATATATATATATATATATATATATATATATATATATATATATATATATATATATTCAAGTTATTTATAAATGCAATGATTTAGAACTTATAAGTGAGACAAATTAAAAAATATATTATTATTCTATTATTATATAAACCTTTTCAATATATGTCAAATACGTGTCATATAATTTATATTAACAAAACATAATGGTTAAACACATCAACATATCTGTTACAACCCAAACCATGTTGATTGCAAAGTTAGAATAAGTTTGGGATCCAATCCCAATATTCCCACCAATTCATAAGAAACTTGATCATTTAGCTTATGTAAAAAAATGTTTATTTTGTGATAGTCATTAGGCAAATGACCACATTGGTGAATATCCCTAACAACAAGGGTTAATTCAGTAAATAACGAGTACAATAATTATGTTCATAAAGTACAATCTTAAAATACAAATGATGTATACAATTATTAGCAAAAATTGCAAATAACAATAAAAATATGTTTTGGTTTTTATCATCCATATATGCTGATTTGATGATCATTAGGTTGGCTCTTGGTGTTAACTCTTAAGTCTTAAGTGTTAACTAACTAGCTAGGGTTTCTTTATATTTCTTTGGTTGGTTAGGTACAAGTTTTTATGCATATAAAGTGGGAAAAAGTAGAGGGTACAACCATTAAAGCATGAGCCTTATTGTTTCTGCTCATAGGACTTGTACAAGTTGCATTGATGGTTGTACCATTCTGCACTACCAGCATTCGCTTATGCTGATCATGATGAATTAGGATACAAGTTTACACGATAAGATGGAAAATGGTTTTCTAGTAAAAGGTACAACCATTAAAGCATGATGAATGATTGGACTTGTACCACTTGCATTGATGGTTGTACTATTCTGCACTACCTGTATTTTTTCTCATTCTGGAGGTGGACTAAGGTACAAGTTTTCATGAGGAAATGGAAAACGGAGTTGCATGGAAAATGCGTTTTGATAAGGGGAAGGTATACCCATTGAAGGGTGAGTAATGATTGGACTTATACTATTTGCAGTGATTGTTGTACTATTCTGCCCTACCTGTTCCAATGCTTTCACTTGTGACCTCAAGAACTTGAGATAATTTGCTGCTTCATCAAGCATGGACGCTGTGTCCATTTTGTTTCCACCAGGAACCAGTTTTTGCAATGCCCTAATTCTTTCACTCACCCTTTCCCGTCGCTGCCTTGCCGCCACCGTCTGTGGGTCACTTGATATCCTCACATTCTTTCTTTTTGGTTTATCCACCACCGTCTCCGCCGTGAAACTCACCGGCCTGAACGCTGCTTCTCTGTATATCATCTCCTTCATCTGCGCAATCGCCTCCATATCAGTTTCCGATGAATTTCCCGGTTGCTGGAAGTTGATATTCGACGATGTGGGTCGACCCACATTCGATCTGGATCTTTTAGGTTTTGGTACATCCACGCCACAGATCGGCAGTTTTCCGGATGTGCATTGAGAAATAGCACCATCGTCCGTGACGGAATCACCGGACGACACGCCACTCACGTTATTATTTCCAGTGACAATGTTGTCACGCCATAAACTCTTGCCATCTGAGAAAATCTCATCTGATGCGTCTGTACTGCCATTCGTGCCGGAAAGTAAGCATTCTATAGACGTGGCTGTAGCTATCGCCGTGGTAGTAGGATTGGCAGTTGTTGAGATGGAAATCTCATTCTTGATCTCTTTCAAGCTATTACTGGACGCCAAATCAGCTGCCATGGCTTCATCACCCCAATCCGTAGGTGCTAACTGATCATGGATTTGATTTAAGAACAAACTTTCTGAATCAAAATTGAAGCTTTGTTCTTCATGATTATCATGGTCATGTGGGTTGTACCACGAAAATGGCAAATCATCCATGATTCCTTAAACTTAATCTAATTTCAGCAACTGAACTAACAAACAGAAAGACCAAGCAAGAAGAGATGAAATTTGATTTTTGATTGCCTTTGACAAAATGAGGTACCTTCTTTGTGTTAACTTATATATATATATATATATATATATATATATATATATATATATATATATATATATATATATATATGGAAAAGTGATATATGGCTGTCATGTATGTAATATTAGGTATAGAACCATCTAAATTGACTTCATTTTGATTAAAATACACAATTTTCTTTCACAGTTAGCTTTTTCCTATTGTTTTTGAACTCATATTATTTTATATTTGTAATTCATCCCTAATATCTATGTATTTCGAATGTGCTTTTTTATTAGACATCTAGTTGAAGCTTCGTAACTTCCTCCGACACCTACCTTATGTATACTTGCATTGTTTTATGTGATGGATTATGGGAAGAGGTTTATCGGGTTTTTAATGAACATTTTCAATCTTTCACTATAGTTTTCTCTAATAAATTTTCAATATACCGAACTACATGTAGTTGATAAAATATTCTTATAAACGGTTTGCGATGCAAAAGTAAACTTATAAAACTCCATAAAAAAATATATACAAAGCCTAATATAAGCTCTAATAGAGGATACAAGAAATATAGTAGATATATTTGATTGAATTTTGTTAAAATTATGTAGTTTTTTATGGTTCTATACCTAATCTTAGGTACATAACAGCCACATATTCCCCATGCCCATATATATATATATATATATATATATATATATATATATATATATATATATATATATATATATATATGTGCCCGCGCAAAGCAGCGGTGATAAATAACTCTTTTGGCGAATAATTGTGTTTATACCTTATATTTTTTTAAAACTATCATTTTGTTCCAAATTAAATTTCTTAATAACCTTCTTTGGTTAGAGTCTTAAAATTTTTGGCAAGTATTAATGATATTTATGCATAATTGATTTGTACAAAAAACTTTGTAACTTATAACTCTTAAAACTAATATGCTTTATAATATAGTATAAGATATATATATATATATATATATATATATATATATATATATATATATATATATATATATTGTGTGTGTGTTTTTGTAAGCATACGCATTGGCGCACGCACAGAGAGAGAGGGGGAAGTACAACAAAAGTATAGTTGGAAACAAAAACTGATCAAGTTGAAAGATAGGGTTTCAAAGAGATAAGGTCCCAAACCAATAGCTTTTGGCTCTTTAGGTTTAATAAATTTATATATTTTCTTTTCTTTATTATTGAAAATAGTAATTAATAAGATAAATTTTCATGGTTGGTCCCCTAATGTTTAGCTTTTATTGCACATTTCCTCCAATTATGAGAATTCCTGCAAATTTGGTCCATATTTCAAACTAAATTAGCATCTTTCTTCCAGCTATCAAGTATCAGTTTCTAGTTTCCTGTAACTTGCTAAACATATAGTAATGACGTGAAAGAATTCGTAATTTAAAACAAACAGTCAAAATTTTGGTATTTTTTTATTATTAATTTGTTATTTTTGGGGGTTCTGAAATATCCAACCCACATGCAACCCATGACTACAGCTCAATGAATGAATGGGTTTCCATTTGAAATTTTCTAAGATTGTTCTTGAGTCTTCATCGTCAACTCTCTTTTTTGTTTTCTTTCCATTTATTAATTTTTATAAAGGACAAATAAAACTTTGTTTGTACTCCACTTTCATTCACATTTTCGAATATGCATCCTTAAAACTATCAAGCAATTTAAATGTAGAATAAATGTATTTGTAGCAATATTTGTTTACGGAATGTATTTTCAAATTTGACTGACATATATTTTCATGTGCACTTTATATTTGTAAAAAGTAGAATTTTTAAACATGTCTATTCTTTTTGTATATTTATACACGAAACAATCAATAATTACGTCAACTACCCAACTCGGTTTTATGAAAGGTTGGTAAAACTTTCAATACATCCAAGCTTTCATTTCAACTTTTCTTCATCATACATAGTTTTTAGATAGAGTTGAAGCTTTTATCTGGATGAATGATCAATCGAGAGTTTGAACTTTATCTAGCGGGATTTATTTGATTTGTTTATCATTTTAATTGTAATAACCAAATAATTACATCCAAAACATATATTAAAACAACAATTGATACACAAAGGACAAAAGTGTGGATTGAACAAAATAATGAAGCTGGTCGTCACCAAGGTACAATTTTTGAATCTTACAAGTTACAACAACGGTTATTAACTAGCTTATTATCATCCGGCGACACACGTAAAGTGAATGTGTTCCAGACACGTGGCTTAAATATATTGGTTTAATTTACATAACCAAATTGATTTGGAACATTACACGTGGCTTAAACATATTGGTTTAATTCGAAAGTGTTTTATGACTTGAACAAGCACACTCGCGTCATGGGCCATACTAAAAAGGCCCCAACGTCTATGTAGATATCTAGAGTCATTTCGTCGAACACCTTGTCTACAATATCACTAACAAGGAAAGAGAACGACAAAAATAATGAACAAAGGGATTTACAACAGAGTTTCCATAAGGAAACAGCTCACAGTTATCAGTTCCATGTATCTACGATACCTGTGAGTTTGCTAGCTCTCGTCATTGTAGGGGACCGGATTGAAAGTTGAAAACCCGCCTTATCCTGTTTCAGAATAATTAGTATTCAGTCACCATCGCAACAAGTTTTCATCCACACGGAGAGTTCTGGAAGTAGCAGAGAGCCCCATACGTACAGATGCTATACTCAAAGGATTTGGAAACCAATGATTCAGTGTGTGGTACTGTCGTCCATGAATGCAAGATTGACCTTTTCTTTATTATCCGGACAATAAAACGAATGCAGAGACAGCTGTTTACTTGTTAGGAGGATATATGTTCCAATTCGAAATGAGTTTCTCGTGGGAGATGTGTTGGCCGTTGGGCGGTGCCTCTAAACTATAAATATTAGTAAAATTTTAAATCAACATATAAGATAAACGGAGTAGTATTATAGTTTGGGGGTGTTTGAAATTGTTTATTTGAAATAATAATCGATTTATTGTCATTTGAAGCGGTTAATAAGTTATTGTAACCATTAAGTGTTTCATATGAAAATATTAAAAACATTTATTGGTTGAATAATGAGTTTTGTATAGGTTTTTTTTATTGATTGTTTATTTAAAATAATTTAGGTTTTCTGCGAATATGTTTATACGGTGTCAAACGTAATTTTAAAAAATATATATATATATATATATATATATATATATATATATATATATATATATATATATATATATATTCGGCAAAACATAATAAGCTAATTATTAATTTTTAATGTTTGGAATTGTTTCTAAGAATGATTTTGAAACGTTGGATTAAAACAATCAACAATTCTAATTAGAATATAAACCATGTCTTATTCATAAATAGATCGTTTTATTTTAAAAAGTTTTTGATTATTGTCATAATCGTTGATTATACATGCATATGTAAAGAAAAAAAAATCACAAAGGTTTTATTAGTATACAAGTAACAAAATTCATGGTATCATTTAAGTATTAGGAACCTACCAATAATAAAATTCAATTACAAAAAAGATTGAGATACCTACATAAAATAAATCTAAAGATTATTATTTAATAACAACTAACCCCTTCTAAAACCCATGTTTTAAAACTCAAGTTGATCCAGTCCGTCAAGCCGGTTGGATCACGATTGAATCGGCCATGTTCACCTTAAAACCTGATTGAATTGTTGGTCCGGTTGTTATTATTATTATTTCTTTAATGTTTGTGTGGATCTCCTTAATTTTACTGATTATTTTTTTTTATTAAATTTTAATATGGTTTAAAAAAGTTCTATTGATTCAAATTTAGGATTACGATCTAGAATTTTTTTTTTCTTTGATGTCGATGGTTGATCTTCCATTGTAAAATTGATATGCATTTCATGCTTATTTGATATTAAATTTGTTTGTTACATCTGGTTAGAAGTTTTATATTGTAATGCTGCTCGACAATTATATTCTTCTTTTTCCATAATTTTTTTTATACAGTTTCATATAAGCAAACAAATGACAAAGATTCATTATACTTACACAAATACCCGTTAGACCTAAGGCCTACTATATGTCATTTTTATGCGTATTACTTTATTTCCACCTTTTAATAATCAGATGGTTTTAGCATTATTCTACTTTCTCTTTTTGTATATCATTCATTTAAGAGGTGATGTTTATTTGATGTGTAGAAATGTTTCACTCAAAACACCACAAGCACCTAGACATCTAGTCGTTTAGGCCAATCCTAGATCGGAAAAAAAAAAAACAAAACATTTTTTTAATGTATGTAAGTACGTATAGAATTGGGTTGATCCATGACCCGGTCGTGGGTCAACTGAAAAACCGGGTTTTAAAACGTTACTAAAACCCTCTATTCACCACTTGTTTATGAAAAAGGTAATCGATGATTTTATTTGTGTATAAGGAACAAAATTCATGGTATCATTTGAGTATTAGGAACCTAATTAATAATCAAAATCACAAACAGGCTCTGCCAAATACCATCAAGTACTCAGATTTTCAGGTTTCAATAGGCTCTAAGTTTTCCCAGCCATTCAACTACGAGCTGGTGCATGTGTTTTTTTGTTTATAAATTACAATGTATAATTAAAAACATAACAGAACTTGTGGATGAAAACCATATATCAGAAGTAGATTTATAATTGAGAAAGAGGTCAGAATGAATCAACGAAGCTCAAGCAAACAGACACATTCTATATGAGGAGTGTGAGGAAACATGTCGACAGGTTGTATGCTTTTTAATGTATAACATCCGTTCAATTTTTGCTCCACCTGTTAAATAAATGAAAAGACGGTTATACCCCTCAAATAATTCATAACCGTGCCAAGTAAGTTTATTATTATTGTAAAAGTGGGGGGTACTCACCGAACCATGACAAAGATA